ACTGGAATCTTTCATATGAATACACCTGACCAAACTGTATGTCTATATATACAATGAAACCAAATTGCTCCTGGTTATCCTTTTTTTCTCTTTCCTTCTATCCTTCCCAGCATTAGAACTTTGTCCAGAGAGCAAGATCTTTGCATATAGTCTGGTCATTTGTGCCTTCAGTGAAGAACTTTGGAATTGATTTGTATCATGGTTCATTTGTTTGTTCCCTTAGTTGCCCACAGTATCCTCAGGAATCTTCTCCAACCCCAAAATCAGAAGTGTCAATAGTCATCTTATCTGCAACTTCAAAATCCGTTACTTAATTTTTTTATAAAATGGAGAAAATTGTAGTAAAATTAATAAGGTGCAGCTAGAGAGAATATCTGAATCATAGCACTGGAAAATAGCATGTGAGAATTGGCATCTGGATGACTACTAGACTTCTAGAAAGACTCACCACATCATGTAGCAGCCAGTCACAAAGTTTCATTTTATATATACATTTCTATGTATTATCTGAAGTACCATAAGAGCAATCTTTATTCTATGAGAGTGGGAATATACAAGTTCTAAGAAAACTATCTCCTAAACTTGGAGATGGAACAGAAAAAAATGCTGATAGAATGCAAGCAGTTTCTGTGACACACTTTCTGCACATTTTGAATAAGAATTTGATTATTTTTTTTAAAGAATAAAAACTGGGGCGAGTGGAGTTCAAAATGTATGGCCCTTAATTTTCAGAAAGTGGGTATTCACTACCAAAACAACATATTGTTGCAGTATTTCTCCTCTCCTCTCCCCTCGATTTCCTCTACTTCCTCCTATTTCACAGTCATACTGTCCTTCCTTATTATTATGGCCATCAATTTTATATCTAGATACTTAACACCATGTACAACTGTTTGTTTTTGTTAGGCAAGACCAGAACAAAAGACAAGTACCGTGTTGTATATACAGACCACCAGCGGCTGGAACTGGAGAAGGAATTCCACTACAGTCGCTATATCACCATCCGGCGGAAAGCAGAGCTGGCAGCAGCCCTTGGACTCACTGAGCGGCAGGTGAGTGCTGCAGAGACTCCTCCAGGTGCAAACCATCACCTCGTTTTTAAATTACACAGGCTTATTAAGCAGAGCTGCCAGGGTAAAAATAAAGGGATATTTACTATCATGTTTGTATCATACATACAAAAATTTTATGTTCATTTGGAAATGAATGAATGGACTTTTAGATAAGCATGAAGAATTTGTTTGATTCTCACTTTAACTGCTTCCTGAACCATTCTATGAATAAAAGTGCACGCATATTTCAGTAGGCACACTTTTATGAAATTTGCAAAGCAGTTCCTCTGCAATATTTACCTAAAAATCCATTCTGTTCCTCTGTGAAAATATGTAACCACTTCACCAATCATTCATATTAACGGTAAACTATGATAGATTAAGAGGAACTGTTTTCTTAAGTTCCTAATCTTATTACCCTTCATTTGTCCCTGCAGGTGAAAATCTGGTTCCAGAATCGGAGAGCAAAGGAGAGGAAAGTGAACAAGAAGAAGATGCAGCAGCAAACGCAGCCTGCCAGTACAACTACACCTACCCCACCAGCGGTCTGCACTCCAGGCCCTATAGGCGGCATCTGCAGCAGCACCACCAATCTAGTTTCCACCTCCCCAATGACTATCAAGGAAGAATTTATGCCTTGAACTCAGCCTTTCCATTACATCTCCAAACTAACCTACCCAGAATGATATGGATTTCCCTCAGAGTCAAACTTACTTGTCAGACTCTCAACCAAGTAGCTTTTTTCTATGTGCTACTCTACTGGACAAATATAATCAACTCATTCCTAGGAGTTAAAACCAAATAGGCCTCTGTGGCTATTAGAGAAAGACTTGCTGTTGTCTCAGACAAGGGAGGAATCATGGGTGTTTGGGAAGAAAGAAACAAGGAAGCAGAGTACTTAAAAAAAATATCTGGATCTTCATCTGAACAGGATCAGAATTATAGAGTCAGATGATTCACAAGTTTAATTAATTGTTAAATTATATTTTGTCAGCCTCTGGTCATTACTCAGGCCTTGTGATGTGGGTCAAAAAGGCAGGAGCCAAGTGACTTATTTCAAGCCAAATTATAGGTCAGGTCAGATGATAGAAACTGAGCCCCGGTTTTACATACTATACAGTATGTATAGTATTAGGAACTAAAGTCATATTAAAGGCTAAGTAGGCAAGAAATACAGACAAACAAGATGGTGAGAAAGAGAGAAGTAAGTAAGTAAGTTATCGGCTTCCACAAAACAGGGTCTCTTAGAATGCCAAAAGTCCAACATTGTTTTCTTGAAAATTTTATTCATGCCTCTATTCCATATCAAAGACATCTGACTTGGTGTGAGACACTTAGGTTATAGCAGAGGTGGGTTGCTCCCAGTTCAGCCCGGATTGTGTGAACCGGTAGTGGCAGCGGGAGGCTCTGCCCACCCACCCGGATGCTTCTGTGTGTGTGCGAGTGTGCTTGAACTGGTAGTAAAAAATTGGCAACCCACCACTGGCTCATATTTTTCCTAATTCCTCCCACCATATTCCTGCACAGTGTTTCAGCGTTGAGGATAAGAGCTTGGATTGCTGTTCTGACCCCCTCCTCTGTCCATTAATGAAAGCCGAGACAAGCTTAAATGGAATGTCCTTTAATAACAAAACCAGAATATCGGTGCCTGAAAGCCAAACAAACAAACAGATAAGGACCTTGGCAGCAAGTCTGACAAATCTCAGCAGCAACTCAGACAAATCTTGGCAGCAATCCAACCTGCCAAGTTAGTTTCTCTTTAGTC